GTAACATACTTACGCTTTTAGTCCCTTTTATTACCAAGCAAGATTTTGTTGTGCAAGAATCAGCGAAGCCGGCGATGTTCGGCAATGTATGCCATGTATGATATTTGTATCGCTTCCATATTTATAAGAAATTCACTTCAGTTTCCTAATTTTATAAAATAATCACATCGATATTCACTTTCTATAACTCAAACAGGTCACTTTTACAATTTTTATAAGATTTTCACTTCGTTTTTTTACAGTTTTTAAAAAGCATCACTTCGATTTTTACACCTTTTAAAACGGGTACTTCGCACTTCGTTTTTTACCCATGTGGAGGCCCTTTCATAGGGTAGATCATTTTGACATTCAGGGGGATGTTACTGTTATGGCAGGAATTAAGAAAAAACATTTTGTTCAATAATCATGGTAGATATACAGACAGTTGTAGGCTTTACATTTCCTTCATTCCCCTCAATTTTTCAATTGGCTGAGCCCTCATGACTAAATTATTCCATCCCTATTTTCTAACTGTTGATGGAGTGCTTGTGAAGTGAGAGATAAAATGTGTAAAATGACAGCCTAGTATTAAAAGGCAGTGGTCGTCACGTCACGCATTGCATGTTTTTGAGTTTTGTATAAACAAACAATGTATTTCACACACATTGTGTACATCAATATGGGTCCCGTATCGAACAAGACGCGGCACGACAACTTGAACCACCGCCCTTTAAGTTTGCAAATCTTCACTGAATATCAGTGAAATCAATAAAGTATATATTTATTTGTTAGTTAGTTACAAACCTTTCTGCCAAAGGGAAGCCAGTGGTCCCAAATACACTTTTCAGCATTTTCGCTTAGCTTTTGCCTTGGGAAATATTGTATACTCTTATAAAATCCTTTGTCATGGCAACAAATAGTGCCTGATATTACAATCATGCAAAGAAAGAAAAAAACTTTTTTTAACGACTATCACACTGATGAATTTATTATTGATTTGACATACATTTTTACATATATCTTGTTATTATTTTAAAACTTTTTTCTGCTGTACTTATCCTATGTAAATCTTACACAGAGGCAATAAAATTATTATTATTACAACAAATACTGCAATATTTATACAATCTAATAAATAAAGTATTTTTTTAATTCACAGTTTCATTCAATCGATAACAAAACATGGATTTTTACGCTGCAATCGCTGTAACAGCTTGTTGCCATCTAATTCTATTGTTTGCTGATTTTCTCATTCAGTTATTTTTCATGTCGCTATACTCTCTATTCTAGTACCTAGAATGAAAATGAAAATGTAACAATCATGATAATTATTCTATAAATCATCGTAAAAATGAAGAATCTTGTTCGATATCGGCAATCAGATTGTTTTCATCTTCTGTATACCAACTGAGAATCTCAGTAGATTGAAAGGAAGTATATGTTTTGGATGTATTTCATTTACAACTTACTGCTTTATTCAAAGCTTGTTCAATATCGGCAATCAGATCATTTTCGTCTTCTATACCAACTGAGAATCTCAACAAATTATCAGTGATTCCAAATTTTTCTTTCTCCTGATTTGATAAATTCACATGTGACAAAGATGATCTGAGGAAAAGAATATACCACATTAAAAGTTTCTTCTCTGATACCGTATATTACATGATGTATTCCAGGTAATAATGTAATTCATACTTATGAAAAGCCTAATAAAACAAGTCATTGTCAATGACACGTCCCTGTTCCGTTCATATTTGAGTGACATATACATTCAAAGCAGATCATGACCGAAATGCACCTGCATATGTACAACACATTGTACTAAATCTGAACAAAATCCATCCTTGCATGACTGAGATCCGGTTCCGGAATTGTGAAAATACGTGATTTTGATGCATTTTCGGCCTTAAAATGGCCATCATTCAGCTATTGTTGAGCGGATCATGAAACAAATGCACATATCTATTTATGACATGATGTACCATGTGTG